ATGTGGGGGGTCTGTTTGTCGGGGTGTGTGGGAGTCAGAGATGGGGTGTGGGGGGTCCATCTGCCTGTTGGGGGGGGCATGGGGGAGTCTGTCAGCAGTGGGGGTCTGGGGGGGTCTGTCGGGGGGTGGGGGAGTCAGCGATTGGGGTGTGTGTGGGAGTCCGTCTGCTTGTTAGGGAGGTGGGGGGGTCTGTTGGGGCATGTGGGGGAGTCAGTGATGGGTTGGGTTGGGGGGGTCCGTCTGTCAGCCGTGGGGGTCTGGGGGGGTCTGTTGGGGGATCTGTCTGTTCTGGGTAGGGGGGTCCATCTGTCTGGGTCCGTGGGGGGGGTCTATCATTCGTGCAGTGGAAAAGCCTTTTCCAAGGGGGGCGGTTTGCAGTGTCAGGAGCCCCTGGGCTCCGGGTTGCCCCCCCACCCCACCTGTGCCCCCAGGGGTCAGGCAGCAGTTACCTGCTCCCAGGTGCAGCGTCTCAGGGCGCTGCTGCCCTCTGCTGTCGGTCGCCAGCACTGCAGGCACATAGCCCCGAGCCCCATAAAATCTAGGGCAGGAGGCTGGAGCTGCCAGTGCATGGGGGAGCTTGTGGGCTTTGGCCCCCAGCCCTGCCCTGCCTGGGGCCAGCAGGAACCACCCCTGCAGTGACACCCTGGACGATGCAAGCCCCACTCCCCCCTTCAGCTTCCTGTCTGCCCCCCCTTCCCGGCCTGCACTCGGCTCTTCCCCTCCCCCATTTCCCACCTGCTCCCTCCCCCCCCACATCCTGCTGTTCCCTCCTCTGGCACAGACAGGCCCAGGAGTGAAGCCTGTTGGTGGTGGAACAAATATTGACCCTGGCAGGCCTGGCTCCAGTGGAGGTGGGGGGTGGGGGTTGTGTCATGGGCCTCAGTGCTATGGGACTGGCAGCCAGCCCATCTGGGCTCCTTAGCGTGCAGGACCCAGCCCCGTTCTCCCGGCGTGAGCAGAGACCCCCGAAAGGCAGCTGCTTTGCCCCTCCCCCGGGCCCAGCTCCCTGCACCATGGCTCTGTCTGGCTTCCCCAGGCTGTGACGAATGGGGCTTGGCTGTGGGGCCGGGGCAGGTGCTCGGGGGGCCGGCAGTGCCTCGGGGATGGGGGCGAGCCAGGCATGTGCAGGACCTTGGCTAGGTTCAGCTCACAGGCTCTGGGGACGGTAAATGTCCCTGGCTAGCTGCAGTCCTCCCTGTGGCGCTGGCAGGGTGCTGGGCTCAGAGCCTGGGACCCGCGGGTGCTTGTGGCTGTGTGCCCGGGGGGCAGCAGAGCGGGCGGAGCGCCTGGCTCCGTCCCCATGGCCGCCCCGGGCAGGCATGTGCCCAGCTGGGGGCGGCTGCTCCCGGAGCCCCGTGCCCCAGTGGGCTCTGCTGTGGGCAGCCCGGGCCCCGGCTCCTTTCTCTGGGGCTGTCTGCCGAGCTCTCTGCGGCCTGGGGAAGGACTCGCAGCGCCACACAGTGCAGCCCAGTCAGGGACCGTGGGTTGCCGGGGCCCGTTAACCCCCTGTGGCCGGGCCAAACGGGGGTTCACGGGTCACAGGCTGTGATGAGCCGGAAAGGCAGCGTCTGCACTCACGCCAGGGGTTTCAGTGTCTAGCTGAGGTGGGAGTTTCTTTGGACGGTGTGCGGGTCCCGTTGAGGACAAGGACCGAGAGGTCAGACCTGGCCGTCGCTTTGTGGTGTTTTGTGGCTTGTTATCATTTCCTGTGCGAGTTCATTGGAGAGCTTAGTGACTGTCTGGCTTCACCCACACAGCTGCTGTTGGGGCACTCCGATAAGGTACACACACCTTGTGACAGGCTGTGTAGGGCCTTGAGAGGTGTGTTGTCGGGAGGTTAATCATCAGAGCCATGGAGATAGGTCGGTTGTTCTAGCTGCGCGTGGTGACACCTTGAGTTGGTGTGTCCTGGTCTATGGGGAGCGTGGCCAGGGCGGGGCTTGTTTGAAGGACAGAAGAGGTGGCGGAAGTTTTTCTTTCCGGGTGTGGTCCTGCATAGTCTGGGGGGGTTACTGGGTCTGTGGGGGTAGGTGGGCGGATCGGTGTGTACAGGTGTCTGGGGGGGTTACTGGGTCTGTGGGGGTAGGTGGGCGGATCGGTGTGTACAGGTGTCGTGGGGGGGTTACTGGGTCTGTGGGGGTAGGTGGGGGGATCGGTGTGTACAGGTGTGTGGGGGGTTACTGGGTCTGTGGGGGGGATTGGTGTGTGTCACAGGGTCCCCGGGCGATGCTCTGGAACTGCTCCCCACGAAGCCAGTCAGGACTTTGGGGAGCCTCCTCTCCCTCGGAGCAGACTGTCTTCAGGGCAAAAAGCTCACACGGCTTCACCTCCTGGGTCTCTCCTGGGAGCATTCAGCATATGCCCCTCCGTGCGCTTCCCACAGCGAGTCCGCCCAGGCGGGGTCCTGGGGAAGCCAGAGGGTCCTGCACCCCCACTTCGCAGTCAGACGTGACTCTCAGCCAGCCAGTAACACGGAAGGTTTATTAGTCGACAGGAACACGGCGTAGGGCAGAACTTGTCAGCACAGAAATCAGTGACTTTCAGCCAAGTCCATCTTGCGGGGAGGGGAGCCTAGAGCCAGGGCTCTGCCTCCCGCTGCACCCCAAGCCGGCCGAGACCAACTCACTTCCAGCTGCCTGGCCCCTGCCCTGCCCGTTGCTCCTTCTCCGGCCTTTGTCTCACTTCCCAGGCCAAGAGTCACCTAGTCACATCCCCCTCCTGGGTCTCAGGTTACGAGGGGGCGGCCACAGCATCCCTGCAGGGAGCTGGAGCAACCCCCACAAAAGTCACACACGCTTATTCCCACCACCCAGACGTTGGTGCAATACACAGGGAAACTGAGGCACGCACAGCATTCATGCAAAACAGTAAGACTCACAAGCAACATAAGGGAAAATCCCCACTTTGGCACATCTCTCCCCTCTTCAAGACCGAAGTGAGTGGGGTCACTTTAGGCCTCCCTCTCCGGGACAAACCATCAGCTAGAACATTTGCACCCCCCTTAACCCACCTCCATCTCATAACCCTGGAAGGACAGACTCCAGCTCGGCATTGGCCCCTCTTAGCTGGTGCAGCCAGGGCAGGGCGAGTGGTCCCGATACACCGTGAAGCGCCACCCAAATAGATCCAGCTGCAGCTTTTGAAGCGCCCACCCCAGGGCCAGGCGTTCCTTCTCCATGGCCGCATAGCTCTGCTCCCGGGGCAGCAGCTTCCTGCTCAGGTACATGATGGGGTGTTTCTCCCGCTTTGGATTGGCCTGCCTCGGCACCGCACCCAGCCCTGTGTCTGGGGCATCGGTGAACACCATAAAGGGCTTGTGTAACGATCCCGTCTCTGGTGGCACACAACTGAGACAATCAACTCAGAACAAATTGCTCAGAGCAGGGAGTTACAGCCCCAGGCTAACCACAAGTCACACAAACAATTTCCTTAGACACTCCAGTTTCCCAGTATCGCCACCAGCACTGCTCCTTATTGGGATGACTGGTTATGAAAACCAATACCCCAGTAAAAGGGAAAAGGTTCTCCTGATCCCAAAGGACCAAGTCCCAGCCCCAGGTCAAAGGATAATTTAGCTCTTACCCAAAAGAAACAGAGGGTCCTGTGGCACCTTTGAGACTAACAGAAGTACTGGGAGCATAAGCTTTCGTGGGTAAGAACCTCACTTCTTCAGATGCAAGTAATGGAAATCTCCAGAGGCAGGTATAAATCAGTGTGGAGATAACGAGGTTAGTTACGTCCACCAATGTTATATATGCCATCATATGCCAGCAATGCCCCTCTGCTATGTACATTGGCCAAACTGGACAGTCACTATGCAAGAGGATAAATGGACACAAGTCAGATATCAGGAATGGCAATATACAAAAACCTGTAGGAGAACACTTCAACCTCCCTGGCCACACAATAGCAGATGTAAAGGTAGGC